CTGTGCATCGTGTGTTAGTGTACACTGTATTCTTTCTTTCAAAACTAAACTTTATGCAGTTCTCAAACCAATGAAAGAGCAACACCTTCTTATGTCATGTCAAATTGAACTCGCTAAGGGCTCTGGCACGTTACATCTAGCATCGATCTAACGTATCAGGAAAGCTTATGTGGGCAACATTCAACTCTTCAATAAGTTTGGAACCACCACAGATGGAAAATTCAGTGACTCGAAACTTACAGCTACTACCAGGACAATTATCAGATGCAGAAACTTGCTCTCCCCTTGTCGACTTTCGTACTCCCAAAATGAAAAAATTGATGTGAAAACCCAGCCAGACACTCTAAAGACTCCACATCTGTAGTGGATAGAAAGCCACACGAGTAGTCTACTCAGAACTTCTTACAGGACCGAGCACCCAAGAATAAAGCAAAAATCCTCCAAAAAGCGATTTTTCGAGTTCGTTGCTTTCGAAGAATTGTTACAATGGAACCATCCACCTAATAGCTCTAGATTTCTGTATTTCACACCCTGGATGCAAGCGCAAATAAATGCACACAAAAGTTGGGATTTGCCTGGGACGGTAGTAAAGTGCCATAGACTGGGAGTCAAAGGTGGTGAACTGCGGCCTTAAACGGCGAAGAATGAAAGGCGAGACAGCGAGGTGACCCTGGTGTGAACGGCGAACTTCACTACATTCCTTTGCAAACTGCGTCTTTGGCCGGAACTGAACCCTCTGTGCCGTCGCGCGAGGATGGCCATCCATGCCACTGCGCCATCTATCTGCTGGTGGGTAGGGTGGAAGGGACGCAGACAAAGAGTGCAGCTGGCGGGTAATGGTGTGGTGTTTGTGCAAAATTGCGACTAATGTGCCCACGCGCATTATTGCACTAAAATGAATTAATCGCACCTATTTCCATTTTCCATTTATTTTGTGTGTCATATAAGTTGTTGTTAAGTTCTTGTTCATGTTTATATGATTCATGTTGATATGATATTTGATTCATGTTGTTTCAGTTCTGTTTGGCTGTGCGCCCATTTTTGTTGAAGAGGTTTCCCTTCGTTGCGACGTTTCGAGGTGAGTATGCATGATTTCCTCGCTTTGGATTTCCTATTTGATTCATCTTGTTTCCAGTTCTGTTTGGCTGTGCGCCCATTTTGTTGAAGGCTTCGATGTAAGTGTGCATGATTTTCATCACTTTGGATTTCCTATTTGATTCATCTTGTTTCAGTTCTGTTTGGCTGTGCGCCCATTTTTGTTGAAGAGGTTTCCCTTCGTTGCGTCGTTTCGAGGTGAGTATGCATGATTTCCTCGCTTTGAATTTCCTATTTCATTCATCTTGTTTCAGTTCTGTTTGGCTGTGCGCCCATTTTGGTTGAAGGATTCGATGTAAGTGTGCATGATTTCTTCACTTTGGATTTCCTATTTCATTCATCTTGTTTCAGTTCTGTTTGGCTGTGCGCCCATTTTTGTTGAAGAGGTTTCCCTTCGTTGCGACGTTTCGAGGTGAGTATGCATGATTTCCTCGCTTTGGATTTCCTATTTGATTCATCTTGTTTCAGTTCCGTTTGGCTGTGCGCCCATTTTTGTTGAAGAGGTTTCCCTTCGTTGCGTCGTTTCGAGGTGAGTATGCATGATTTCCTCGCTTTGGATTTCCTATTTGATTCATCTTGTTTCAGTTCTGTTTGGCTGTGCGCCCATTTTGGTTGAAGAGGTTTCCCTTCGTTGCGTCGTTTCGAGGTGAGTATGCATGATTTCCTCGCTTTGGATTTCCTATTTCATTCATCTTGTTTCAGTTCTGTTTGGCTGTGCGCCCATTTTGGTTGAAGGATTCGATGTAAGTGTGCATGATTTCTTCACTTTGGATTTCCTATTTGATTCATCTTGTTTCAGTTCTGTTTGGCTGTGCGCCCATTTTTGTTGAAGAGGTTTCCCTTCGTTGCGACGTTTCGAGGTGAGTATGCATGATTTCCTCGCTTTGAATTTCCTATTTCATTCATCTTGTTTCAGTTCTGTTTGGCTGTGCGCCCATTTTGGTTGAAGGATTCGATGTAAGTGTGCATGATTTCTTCACTTTGGATTTCCTATTTCATTCATCTTGTTTCAGTTCTGTTTGGCTGTGCGCCCATTTTTTGTTGAAGAAATTGTAAGAAGAAATTCGTTTTGTGTTGAGGTGAGTATGCATGGTTTTTAATCGTTCACAGTGAAATCTCTTCTCTTGCACGTGTACACGTTTACGAGCTGGAGTCCCTCTGCTTCTTTTTCTATTGTAAGGCTTTCCTCGCCCTATAACAGTAGCGGACATTAAACGAATTTACACGATCCTACTATATATAAGCGGCTAGCGTGTGTCTGTTGGTGTGTGTGTGTGTGTGTGTGTGTTGTTTGAACGGAAATTCATAGCTCGAGTCACAGTAACGATAGCGCAGTGGTTCTTACATATGTTATAGGGGTGGGATGGGGACACAAGTGGTACGTGATAGGAACTGATAACGACTGATAATAGCTGATAAGAGGGGCTAGAAAGCGAGCATCGCCAATTTCGTTTTGCCGTTCATATTGGTAAAGAGCGTCTATACTTACAAGTCTTATGTGGGGCGGTCCCGGGACATTGGTGGTACATGATTGGAAGCGATAGCAACTGATAATGGCTGATAAGATGCGCCAGAACGCAAAAGTCGTCGATTCCGTTGCCTGGCTCGCGTTGACACCAGAGCAACCATACTTACAAGTGTTATGTGGGGTGGGACGGGGACATTGTTGGTGGGTGCCAGAAACTGATAACGATTGATAAGGGCCGATAAGGCGCGCCAGAACGCTGAAGTCGTCGATTCCGTTGCCTGGCTCGCGTTGACACCAGAGCAACCATACTTACAAGTGTTATGTGGGGTGGGACGGGGACATTGTTGGTGGGTGCCAGAAACTGATAACGATTGATAAGGGCCGATAAGGCGCGCCAGAACGCTGAAGTCGTCGATTTCCGTTGCCTGGCTCGCGTTGACACCAGAGCAACCATACTTACAAGTGTTATGTGGGGTGGGACGGGGACATTGTTGGTGGGTGCCAGAAACTGATAACGATTGATAAGGGCCGATAAGGCGCGCCAGAACGCTGAAGTCGTCGATTCCGTTGCCTGGCTCGCGTTGACACCAGAGCAACCATACTTACAAGTGTTATGTGGGGTGGGACGGGGACATTGTTGGTGGGTGCCAGAAACTGATAACGATTGATAAGGGCCGATAAGGCGCGCCAGAACGCTGAAGTCGTCGATTCCGTTGCCTGGCTCGCGTTGACACCAGAGCAACCATACTTACAAGTGTTATGTGGGGTGGGACGGGGACATTGTTGGTGGGTGCCAGAAACTGATAACGATTGATAAGGGCCGATAAGGCGCGCCAGAACGCTGAAGTCGTCGATTCCGTTGCCTGGCTCGCGTTGACACCAGAGCAACCATACTTACAAGTGTTATGTGGGGTGGGACGGGGACATTGTTGGTGGGTGCCAGAAACTGATAACGATTGATAAGGGCCGATAAGGCGCGCCAGAACGCTGAAGTCGTCGATTCCGTTGCCTGGCTCGCGTTGACACCAGAGCAACCATACTTACAAGTGTTATGTGGGGTGGGACGGGGACATTGTTGGTGGGTGCCAGAAACTGATAACGATTGATAAGGGCCGATAAGGCGCGCCAGAACGCTGAAGTCGTCGATTCCGTTGCCTGGCTCGCGTTGACACCAGAGCAACCATACTTACAAGTGTTATGTGGGGTGGGACGGGGACATTGTTGGTGGGTGCCAGAAACTGATAACGATTGATAAGGGCCGATAAGGCGCGCCAGAACGCTGAAGTCGTCGATTCCGTTGCCTGGCTCGCGTTGACACCAGAGCAACCATACTTACAAGTGTTATGTGGGGTGGGACGGGGACATTGTTGGTGGGTGCCAGAAACTGATAACGATTGATAAGGGCCGATAAGGCGCGCCAGAACGCTGAAGTCGTCGATTCCGTTGCCTGGCTCGCGTTGACACCAGAGCAACCATACTTACAAGTGTTATGTGGGGTGGGACGGGGACATTGTTGGTGGGTGCCAGAAACTGATAACGATTGATAAGGGCCGATAAGGCGCGTCAGAACGCAAAAGTCGTTAGTTCCGTTACGCAGCGTTGACACTAGAGCGTTCCTACTTACAAATTGTAGTAAGTCGTAGTAGTACAAACAAAGGTACGTGCACATTATTTCGATATATATCCAGCTTACTTAATAGAATTCGACTGCATAAATTTTAAAAAACAAGTCTTCAGCAAATGATAAGTTTCATTTCTGACTATTAAGAAAACCCAAACTCATTAAACCGCTAATCCTTTCGTGGTTCTAAATAATGATGAATGTAAATGAATGATAAGCATTAGCTCCTCACTTATGTAAATAGGCATATTTCGTTTTGATTTTGAGACTGACAGCAATCCTATTCACCGCTAAATTATCTTAATTCAAGAAAAATGCTGGATGTTTACAGTTGTGATCAATATACCACAGCTCTGACGTTATCACGCGTATTCTTCGATGAGCTTCAGTGAAACTGTGGAGGGTCTAACACAGTCAATAGTGAGATGGTTGATGGAGTATCTCATGCTGATATTCCATGGGTCCTCCAATTTCGCTAAAGCCTGCCGTGTGATGCGCGCGATAGCGGGCGAAGCAAAACTGGTTAATTAATACCCGGAATAAAGGCGTGTGAATTTTGTTTTGTTGTGCTCATTGCTTTTTATTATTTGATTAGCGCAATGTTAAAGTTATATGCGGATGCTCATTTTGCCTTAGCTTGGACTGGAACGCAGCGATAGTCTTGCTTAACGCAGTGTTCTGCAATGAGCACTGCCTACACGCAGTATCGCATGACACGCAAAACACGTCGTGGCTCAATACCACAGTGATGGACTAGTGTTGAGGATTTCCATAGATATTGGGAGCTTCGTACATGATTTAACGGAATGTCCTAAGTGCGTGAAGGGTCTATGGAGTGGCAGGAGTGGTCGGAATCGTCCGAGACAAGAATAAAAACAGAAGCAGTGATAACATAGAAGAAGGAGACTAGGAAGTAGGAGTACGTGCAATAGTGCCGATGCTGTGCTCGACAAGGCTATGTTGGCAATGGGAGGCCGGAAGTAGTCATGGGTTCCGAGAAGACTAAATGACATTGCTCAGCCTGCAGTATACATAATGTTTCATCTGGAGATCATGTGTTCCGAAAGGCTCCCATGCATATGCTTCAAGAAATTGCTCTTCACTTTATTGATGATTGCTGGTCGCCTCGCGCTAGGAATGTTCGCTACGTCCGCCAGGACCCTCGACGCAACATCTCGGTGAACCAGTCTCTGATTCGTCAGAGATTTCGGTTCACCGACGAACAACTGGACTGGCTGACGGACTTGTTAAGTCCCATGCTGGGCCGCGACGACCAGCAGCCATGGGCGATAAGTAAGAGGATGCAGGTAGCTAGATTTTTAGCATAACAAAACTCGTCCATGCCAAGTAGCCGACAATAATTCCCATTTGTGATTCCAAAGAAGTAAGTGATTAGGATATACCAGGTAACCTATGCACTAAATGACAATTCAAAAAGATTGGTGGTTGGGACACCGCTGACAAAAAAAAAACAAACACAATGTTATGACACGTGCAGAACACGGGATCACACAACATCGTACAAGACGCTCAGTTGATCGATGCTCTGGCCCATCCAGACATCGTACAACGCTTTATTAAGTTCAAACCCGAGGACGCGCAGTGGTGCAGAGCCCGATCCAACGAGTTCGCAAGGACAGGAAGGATGTCCAGTGAGTGGAAATCGAAGTAGTTGTACTAACAATGTGAATTTCAAAAAATGTGCTTATAGATGTGATCGGTGCTGTGGATGGCACACTCGTCCGGCTTAAGGACTCCATGCTTGGTTGGACGAGGTGGGGACGTCAGCAGGAAAGGAACATCTTCCGCCTCAACGTCTGCCATCATGCAGACGCTGTAGGGGCGAATTCCTGTTACGTCCAAACGCAGGGTCCCGGATGGTTATTGAACGATGCCGCTGGTTTGGCGTGACTCCGCACCTGCTGCGGCCACTTCAATCGTGGAAGTAACCGTAGCGGTTATCGCCTTCTTGGCGATATGGGGTACGGCAACGGCGGCGGAATAATGACGCCATTCCGGCCCACTGCCGTCCGAGGAGACGCGAGAAAGCGCGATACAACCGCGATCATTGCCGTATGCGATCGATCGTGGAGATGACTATTGGTCGTTTAAAATCGCGCTTCCCCATTTCTCTCGTCAGAACTGAGAGTGGGGCCTCAACGTGCGTCGAAAATCGTCATTGCATGCGTGGTGTTGCACAACATAAGTTTGTGCCTCCACGCGACCGCTATGCGACAGCTTGGAAGTAGGAAGGCGACGATGGCTCATCCTGGTGCCGACGTAGCAGACGTCCGTGCCTACATCATGGAGAGGATGTAGTCATTTGTCGGTATGCACATTCTTTTTGCTAAGGGCTCGGTATTGAAAACTTGATAGAAAATCCTCTTTTCATTTTCTAGCTCTTCCGAAAGCAAGCACTGACGCCCACGCAGGGGAAATGATTTAGTCGTCGAAGTCAGAAAGTTAGGCTCTTGATCGTGTTTTCGCAATTTTTAAGAGGGACCCTATTTCAGGCCTAAAATCCATTGCCATTGAAGCACTTCGAGTGATCACGACTACGCGATAGGCGCAATTAGCGACCTTCCTGAGAAGAACGCCCGTGTTCATTAGCCCAAGATTACGTCCGTCTTCTTGTTTAGTGTTGTGGTGGTCATAGTAGTTTCTCGCTTTAGGGTGAAAAGTCCGCACATAAGAATCAACTTCAGTTTCATTGTGCACTCCTAAAGAGGTCACCCGAGGGTGGTGACTTCCTTCCCTTCATTAGCAATCGTGCACTACAATTGGGACACTGCACATAGAAAAATTCCATTCTCTACGCGAGGATGCTCTACGTTATGCAGTAGTTTTCCGCACTATCAAATGCATAGGATTGTGATGTGTAGCCTCGTTACTGTTTGAGCGAAGTGTCTGCAAAACTGCCTGCTCTTCTCGACGCTCTTGGCGCAGCGCGTCCGCGCCCCCGCGATCGTGACTTCCTCCCGCCTTCGACGACGGGTCGGATGTCAAGCACGTGGTGAGTCCATACGGTTTAACCAGTGAACACGCGAGTGAAGGACATCATCGAAGTCGAAACGGAAAACGAAAGCACTGACATGTATGCGAGATTAATTGCATTTCTGTTGATTTGATTTTTCCTTTCACTCGTACAAAATCTGAACGCACCTGTAGCAAACTACTTCGAGAATAGTCGAACTGCCCTTCTTCAAAAGGCTACATAGCTTCCAAAAATTTTCATCGCACAGCTGTATACAGCTATCGTCCTGACTGGGGATCGGTGATTTTAGACGACCTTTGCCGCATGAACATGTGCCCTAAATTCCACTGATCTTTCCATGAACAAAGCAATTTTAGTTCCGCATACCTCCAATTTTGTGCATGTACTTCATCGGCTACGCGTCGTGAATTACTGATCGAATTCCTCGCAATTGAACGTTAACGTGCCACATGAGCACTGTGGAAAAAATTATCAAAAAGTTTTTTTTCTCTGAATAGGTCTTATATACGGCAAGGACACGAGCTGGCAGAACACTTACAATACCATTTACATTAACATCTCTTCTTTGAACTGGCCGAATCTCAGGCCGCTGAGCACGTCTGGTGCGCTTTTATGGAGAATGCAATTCTTCATCGCATCTCCCGCCGATTTCATCGTCTACTTCCACCTGAAGAGGTCATCAGTGACTGACCAACAAAGGGGCGGGATATACAGGTGTGGTACCTCGACATCCACAGCCTTTTCCTTTCCAACATTTGATGGTCCTCCGGAGATGTCGAAGTTCTTCATTTTCTATCCGATCTTCCGCATTTTGGTGTGGCTTATATGTCTCCATGACATCGTCTTTTCGATATGCAGCTGTGTTTGCGAAATATCTATACAAATCTGGCGTTTGGTCGCTTTGCATTTTGCCGCCCGTTTTGAGCAATCCTTCGAGCAATTCGAGTCTCCCTTGCCCCGTTTGTTGATGGTATCTGAGCAGTTCCTTATCATAGAGAAAACGGTCGATATGCACAGTAGCCACTCACTTTTTCTCAACTATATCGGGGGTCATCACCCTCTTTTTTCTATTAGTGAAATGGTTCTGAATTTGCAGTGGTGTCAACACCACCCCAAATTTCCTCGCGATCTCTGCTGAAATTGAAGTCCAAATTTCCTCCTAACTGTATTCGATGTCATGCATCGACTTTCTAACAGCCTTTTATTTAGAAATATTGTTTGGTGTCCAACACGCGCCGCGCGCGTAACAAAGTCGGATACAGCCGAAGGGATTGGAGGGATCCTCTTGCGATCCATTTCTGAAATGCGTCATGGAACAGCGCAGAATTCAACACAATTCCGTTTGTGGGTTTGACGGATGACGACTACCAATTCTAACGGTAAAAAATTAATGCTTTTGTTGATGTGTTAATTGATGTTTTCACCAAGGGCTCTATGGTTATTTCCTTTGATGTTATAATTTTAATGTCCTGGAATGTTTGTTCCATCTGTGTGTGTCTATTTATGCGCGTGTGTTGCTTCAGTGTGAGGTCTCAACAAGTTGTTTTTTGTGTGGTAAATTGAATATTTGAGTCACAATTTTGATAGGGAGCGAGTTTGATAAATCAACCTCAACCCGAAACTAAATTCTTCTCAACAACAATGGCAACAAAGGGCGCTACAGCCGATAACATTTTGAACATCAACGATCGTTCAAGTATTCGATTTTTGAAAAAAAAGCCATAGACAACACTTGTTAAAGCAACAATCCCAACAGGAGTCATGATAAGAAATCTGTTCATCGGAGGGATAGGGTAGCCTACGTGTAGTACTGATGTGCCGTTGTCGCGGCTTAGAAGTGCACACGACAACGGCGCTAGAGTCTTCAGAAGCTGTCTTCTGACGACTAATTCCATCTTCTGGACGAGTTAGTTGGCACACGCCCCACGCCCTGAATTTAAGCCCTAAAGTTTATGCTGAAAGTAATCTGAAAGGAAACACTATACAGGCTTCCAACCATGAAAATAGGTGAAGACTTACCTCGACACAAACAAAAATCTCAGAAAGATGTGTAACGAGGTCAAGGTAACCTGAAAGGTAACTGTACACACGCTCCCACTGACAGAACATTTCAAAACTCACCTCGACGAAAAAAAAATTCTCAATCAGATGAGCAATGATGCCAAATGAATCTAAAAGGAACCTTCAAAAAGGCTTTCACTCACGAAAAAATTAAGGTCACTCACACAAAAACGTAGATGCAAACGTCGACAGGAAAGAAGTCCAACCAGATGGGCAATGACGCCGAACGACTCTGCAAGGAACTCTGAAAGGACTCTATGCACACGTCCAATAACGAAAAAGGTGAAGGCTGACCTCCACGGAAAAATAATCTCAGACCGATGGGCAATGATGCCAGACGACTCTAGAAAGAAACTCTATAGACTTCAATATTGCTCTATCTTTGTCTCTAGATGTACCTAAAGTGCACTGCACCAGCGGAGGTGTTTTTACGCGATATTGGCGCAGGCTTATGTACCGGAAATTAGGTAATCGAGGAGAGTGCTATCCGGCTCATTTGAGGGGCTCCTATGAATGATAAGAACAGCTAAACGAGGGGATTAGGTGAAAGAGAATAGTAACGAATGCACCTTGCTATCCGCAAAAGGAATCAAAGTACGAATACCGTACAAAGTGAGTTCATGATAATTTGCACAAGCAAACTGGATTGGGCCATCTGGGTATTATCTGTATTTATTTTCAAACAGATAGATTCGTTCTATTTTGCAGTTTTTTTTCTGAAATCACACTGTGGCTTCTGACAGAGGGTTACGAAATTTCACCGAATGCCTCCTATTTATCTAGTGGTGCTGCAAACGTGCAGCCTTTTCAAATTCGAGAGGTGAAATGGCAAACAGCGTACAGCACACGGAATGAGTCACTGTGACATGTGCTTTGTATTTACAGTATTGACCGCGAAAAGGACGGTTGACGGGAACAGCTGGATGTTTCTATCGATGCCGACCATCTCACAAACGCCACCATAGACTTTTTTTGCTTGACTTTTTTGTTCGATGCAAACACCTGATATAGCTTCGGGAAGATGGTTTGAACGAGGACAGGCTTAGCGTTATCCAGAGGCAGCGTTGTCATGTGTGTATTCTTTGACCTCTAGGCATCAGCTTGTGCCATATTTGATTTTCCTGATCCTTGCACACTTCATCAGAACCGATATTTGAGGCCATGTATTGCTGTCGACAAGAAAGCTTATGAGAGTGAACGGTCATTGTCTGCAAATGAAAAGTAAAAAAATACATGTAGTCTTCTTTTCCGGAAGTAGCTTTCTCTTTCCTTTTCCTTTTTCATATCACTTCAAACAACCAACTTTTCATAAAATTTTGCTATGGTTCAATGGCTGCTATTTGTGTGGATTAAAGGCAAACTCCGGGATTGAACTGGTGCTATCAGCGCTTCTGTAGTGATAGCTTAGCTGCGGAACGACCTGAAAGTGGGAAGGAAAGCAAGAGAATCTTTGGGAACGCTGAAATTAAGGCCTTAACCTTCAACAGGTCGGATGTGGTACGATGGCGAGACAGGGCGGTCAAAGAAGACAAAACACGCGAGAGAGCACGTCGTTTGAGAGAGCACGCTGATCTCACCACATCTCGCGGTGGGTGGGAAGCGTTGGAAATGGGTCGATGGTTGCAGGCCCGTAAGGATTAGCGCCCTAACCGCGCAATTTTTGCGACGAAGCTGGAGTGATCTAGGTAGTACAGACCTTACAATTTCCCTCGTGGTATCCCTCCTACTAGTCGGGCCAATCCCGGGGTTTGCCTTTAAGTGACTACTTGAACTCTCTCTCGTGTTCTCTGCCGCAAAAGGACATAGCGCAGACGACGACGGAGCATCAAGTCGCATCGGTTTAAGGGACTGAGTCCAAGTTGTCTGTAGACCATTTGTGCGACCTATTGGGTTGGAGCATAATATCGTAGCGCTCGCATTCGGCAAAAACGTTAAAGGAAACCCAAAAGCAAAGCCAAGCATAAAACTAATGATTTTTTTCGTCATTATTTACGACTTTGATTCCATTTCGCAAGAAATTACCGGATTCAGAATTTAAAAAAGGGTACTGAGTTTTCAGAGTCCTCATTATTCTCGACGTGAATATGATTTGAAATTGAGGGTCGACTGGAGTAAGGTTCGATGATGACGATGGATTCTGAAAAGCTCCTATTTTGGCAGCTTTTTCTTTATATAGATTTTCGCCAATCTTGGTTTTCCACTTGTTTCTGTTTGTTGTTTTGTTTCGTATCAGCCAGGCTCTAGCTGAAAACTTTATTCGAAATCGGTGACCTAATCTTTCGCAGTCCGGCTCACAGAATAAATTGATCCATATGACCTCATCCTGGGTTGCTGCTTTAATTAAGAATAATGCCCTATAATATCAGGTTGTAAACTTATTTTTGATAAGTGGATTGATAGTAACAAGGTGATGACTACTAAACTGTTATACCTTTATACCTGATAGACTTGGCATCATTCGATATTACCGTTAATTCTCTGCGTTATTAGGTGAGGGTTTATTCGATGCTTAAAAATGCAACAAATTGGACATACAAAAATGCATTTTTTGACATCCACGTTCTGTGTTCAACAACTCGGCTGTTACGACTTTCGGGAGATTACGATGGTCAGGCTCCATCGAGTCCTATGTATCGATATCGATATGTATCGATTGGTTTCAACTATTCAGAACTTGTAATGATAATTTTGCAAAAAATCCAAGCCATGGTAATATATACATCACTATGAAGAAACACGAGAAACCAACTTCCTCAATATGTGTAACAACGGAATCAGCACTAATAATTTGTTGCGAATATTTGCACGGAGGAAGCAGGGTCGCAAAACTGACATTCATTTCTGGACAACCTAATATTTGCACCACGCATTAGTTAGAACTTCGTTTTCGAACTAATTCTCTCATTCTTCCAATCTAAGATTCGACTTACGAAAGGAATTGCTGCTTTCCTGGAGATGAACTCATAGATTCAGATAGTTCATTAATCAAATGACGATGGTGATGATTCATCATCACAGAAGCTCCACCCATCTGCTCGACATTTGATATCAGGATGATATTGCAGAAACGGGACATTTCCAAGTTGCCATGATAGATACTAGATGTTTTCCTTTTTTTTCTTCTTTAGAAATGATTTCAATCTTCAACTTTTATGTGGTTTCCGAAGCAATGCAATGATATGCCCTCCAATTAAATTACACATGTATGACTCTCTATTCTTCCCACATTTGTGCTTGCACTTGATTCATGTGTATTCCCTGCGTCTCTCCAAGAAATAACGACGGGATTCTCATGAATTCTTGCTTAAAGGCCATCTTTCCTAGAAGGATAAGAATGAAAAATGCTCTTGCTTCAAAAAGCCATCCCAAACACTAAGAAAAGAAATTCGGCGCACATCTGCTACAATTGCAGGAAAGCGTTGTCACTATGTATATCCGTGGATTGCGTTATTTTCAAACCTTTCCCGCAACCCCTTTATATGGCAGTAACAAGACCTAGAATTCTTCTCAGAGTGAACATCATATCATGCATTTCTAACATCCATCCTTATAGCGGATATTTGGGCTTCATTCAGCACTCCAACTCGAAATGTCATATCGATCTCGCGCAAGTATCATGGCTAATTATAAGTCGTAACCTCTTGAATCCTATATAAGTAAAGCACCACCTTATGACGGGAAAATAGGCAGTATCTCGTCAGATGCCTTTATCACTCTAATATTACGAATAAGTATATGCGATTTTCATTGCGTTTTGAGCTCATCGACTATATTATGTCAATGTGAGTTATATTTCGACTGAAAAAGCTTGAAACAATCAAGCAGCTCGAGATCACCTCGATTATGTCAGCGAGGTGAATTAAATATCTTAAAGATATTACTATAGTCACATAAGATCACAGTCGTCATCTACGCGCCGTATGCAGAATCCCTGACGATCTCGGACTTTCAAGGGCTCGAGGGATTGGATGGGGGAATGTGCGATTTGGACGGTCGCAACTCCACACGCTTGGCTCGGGAGCAGGGTCAATCCTACGTTGTTACTAGTAAGCAACGGGGGTCGTACCTGGTTGAGTTTATAGGCGGGGGTCGTATCCGCTTCAGTCGCGTGAAAGTACATGTGAGTTTGTGGTGAAAGTGAAGTTTCCACGAGTAGTAGGCTAGTAAACTAGCTAAGCTTCAGAGCAAGGGATGAATAACACGACCTCGTAAGGAATCTTCGAGACAGCCCAGCATATTCCTGATAGCCGAAGTTGAAGAGGATCGGGATGAGCTGCAGTACATCACAAGAGGTCCATCAACAACGGACACAACGGTGCTGCTGCCACTTATTTGCTAGCATCATTAGTTTTACCAGAGTTGTAGTTAGCCTAATGCAAATAATATCTCACAACTGTCTGGAATTAAAATTTAAATGGAAAGTGGTTGTTGGTTTGGTTCGTGGTGATCAGTATGGCATAGGAAGGCAACGCGTCCTGCAAAAGAATCGTAGGGAAAGGGCAGCGAATCTACTCTAGAATGATGTACATGCTTCGAGAACTTAGTGGAGGAACAGCATCTTGGTAGAAAGTTCAAAACAGGCAGATTCGCAGCCTTCTTGGCATCATCAGATCCTGCAACCGCAAGCGTGTCATTCATCAGAACGGGTTGGAAAGGGAGCGATTTGAATATAAAGGAATGATCAGACATCATGACCACAAGAGTTATCCTAATTAATTACTGGAAATATCTTCTGGAGTGCTTAAGCAAGTCGTCACTAGGACAAAACACCTTCCCAATGACTCCGAGTGGGGTCACTGCATGGCGCATACAAGAACGGAATGGATCCTGCGCCAAGTGCATCATTTTCAATTTACTCCATCGAACTGACGTGTACAGAAGTATTTTGAAGGTGTTCAAAGAAGTTCCCTACTACGGCGAGGGAGTAATAGAGTTTTCGAGTGGCTTCGAAAATTTCCTTGACATTTCCTCGACGCAGATTTCTCGCGAACTAGAAAGCGTTCGAAACAACTGGAGCACCTATCAGAAAGCGTAAATCTTCTACTTTACAACGCTTTCCTCCGATTTTCAAAGCATTGCCAATGAAGACAGCTACTGCCTTCCAAAGAGTGGGAACTCGCCGGCTCCGATAGATCTATGTAAAATTTTCAATTCATCTTAACTACAATCTTTCTTCTCGATCTCTCTCCCACTCATAAAGACAGTCCAGGACGAGCAGCTCAAGCATAGAACCCGCTCAGCACAAAAGTTTCACTGCAGCCAAAAAATCGAGCAATACTAGAAATCTCGTGCATTCAGCCCCTTCCTCATAAATAAGCCTCTTACACCATACTATGTCTAAATATAAATACTATCAATGAATTGACAGTTAAGTCGCTCTAAATAAAAGAGTGCGTAACCATGAACGATAAATTAAACACACACTTAGTCGCTCTAAAAACAGTCCCTCAGATACCGTACTGCACACGCCGCACTAATTGACACGAGGAAGTATACGACGCGCATCCAGCAATCTAATATAGAGCTAGGACCCGCATAGAGGCATCCTGTAATGTTACGTCCGAGCACAACTGTTCAACCACCTGTTAGGGCCTATGTTAAACCAAATCTTCCTCACAATATTCCACTTCACGGCCCAATGTGCAAAGGTTAAAATATCTGTAAACGGAAAGAAAGAAATTGAATCTAGCATAAGTGATCCACACGCCTCGCGATGTATTTGCGGTGCACACCGGCGCTACACCATCCCCTCCTCGAAACATCCTGGAAACCTAGCATTTTTTTGCATAATGAAACGGATTTCAGAGATAAAGAAAAGGGAGTCTCAAGAACCGTTGTTCTGAGGGGCGCTCGAGCTACAACGTAGTCGCTTATTCCTCCGAACAAAGATGGATCAAAACTAGACCCATCACCGTTATACTGCATCATGCATCCAAAACAAGGTATTCGTAAACTTTTTGAATACTATCCCCACCCTAACAACAGGGATAGAAAGCCATTTAAGTAAATGAATAGTGATTAAGGCGACTGCTAAGAACCCCTGCCCTTGCACAACCAAACGCGGTCGATCTCTACCCAACTTATTTTAGGTGCATCCACACGTAGAAAATTCCTTTTCAGGCAACGTGGTCACAGCTATCTCGCCCCTTCCCTCCGCCCTAAATCCCCGCGCTCGACGTAGATTCTGAGAAAGTATGTCCTGAGC